GTTCTCAAAGCAGGGTCTCAGTATGACAGAGATGTCACAGCGCTGCTAATTAGAGCTGGCAGAATAGAACATGTGCATAGATATCATCTATTGTTCCTCATCACTCTAATGAGCTTAAATGTCTTTGTCTTTATTCATCAGCTCAAAGGTTGCAGAGTTGCTGCAATAGAGTCATTTTCTTTTTATAAAGTATCTATTACCATATCAAGTGACTGAAGCTACAATTACGCCTTTCCAAAACTCAGTGCCATATAGGTTGTCCTATTTCTGAAGGATCTTTGTGTTGTAAAATGGAATTAACTACTCATAATTCAAAACATCTACTTGTGGCTGAGGGTGACAAATAAAGTGCATATGGATTGTAGTGAAAGGACTACAGTGCTGAAAGAGAGGCAGAGGTGTGCACGGATGACAACGATAGACCTGTTATCATGTAGCACAGGCCTGTTTTGACCTGACCTTGAACACACAAGCACGCACGCACACACACACACACACAAGCTGGGTCACAGGGAATAAAGAGCCACTGTGTCAGGTCACAGAGCACAGAGAGAAGGATAAAGGAATTGAGGGATGTGATATGACTAATATGAGGGGTTTTGCAGGCCTTTGGGGGAACTGGCTTTACAGCCAGGGGTGACTGACACTGTTGATCTGTATCACACATGAGAGCGGATCACAGCAGAGGGGAGCAGAGTAGCCACACAATGAAGTATGGACACACTACCTATGAAATCCACAAAAAAGCACACTTTTACAGGAGTTGGATTTTAATTCTTAGCAATAAATACAAATGTTGCGCTTACAGAAAAACATCTTTATGTAAACTTTATATTCTAGTGTCGTTTGAAAGCATCGTTGAGAATGAAAAGATGTCATTTCTGTGAAAATGCATTCTCAGCTGTATATACGTAAAAGTGCTCCACCAAAACTTATTTCTCCCCCTCAAAGAGCAGGTTCAAAGATCAGCACCTAGCAGGATGGGCTTGCATGCATGTTGATCGGGTTACACACTTCAAAGAAGCACAGCTATACACAGCCAGCGATGAGAGCAAAGGGGGCCAAGGATAGGGCCACATTGTCATTCTGCTATTATCAGTACTGCCAGGGAATGGATAGCTCATTTTTTCTATTACAATCGGGCTTTTTTCCCCCTCTGTCAACAAAGGTTCTGAAGAATATGATCTCTTCCTTTGAATCTTTCGAATGGCTTCAAACATTCTTAGAGGCCAGTCTGTATAGATTATGTTTGGTTTGTCAGCAAACGGGAACGATCCATAGATGGCACTGTTGGCTCATGCTACAAGTCAGACACTAGCACTGCAAAACGGGGAGGAGGAAGAGAAGAGAATCCACTTAAAACTCATCAACTTTGGATCTGAGGAAAAAAAATCTTTCATCTATGCTCAAGTGTCATTTGCCAAATATAATCTTGTAACTTCTAATTAATTCAAACTGTGAGAAAGAATCTTTCAAAATATCACACTTCCCAAAACAGAACACATTTTTTCATGCTAAAACTGTTCTTTTCCAGCAATAGTGATTTAACAGCTCATTATCAAAAGCTGTGTTTTTTTCCCCTTCCTTTTACTCCCCCCTCCATCAATTCCTTCACTAATCAACAACACTAAAAAGTTTATGGTCAAAGAAATATGTTTTTTTGTCTATTTTTTTTTTTAGAAATAAAGAAAAAAACAAACAAACTGAAGATCTACTCAACTTGATGGAACGTAACAGAATTTCTAAGACGATATTTGAGATGACACGAGAGAGTTTGGGAAGTTTAAAAATACACTTCAAGTTAAATAACTTACTATTTCAATACAGTACATAATGTGGAACTGTGGTACAAGTTAGTCACTCGTTGAAAAATTAACTTTCGAGAGCACTAACTTGAAATTTGAGATTAAAAGATTGTATTCTTATGGTTGCCATAACTTTACGGATGAGAGGAAACCTGTTGTTTATGGTCCAGGTCTGCTGATGACAGAGGAGTGTGAGGGGTGCGCTGGGTGACCAGTGGAGGTCTCCCAGCCTGGGAGGGCCTCATTGGAGTCAAACTGCCCTGATCTATGGCCTGTCTGACTGGCGAGGTCAGACGAAAAAACCCTGGAAATGGGAAATTAGCAGCCCTATGCAATTAGAGCCCTGACCACAGGCAGAGTGGGCATACTGCATCACATTCCACAACGCTGTCCACTACTTAACTCACAAAAGAGGTAAATACTGAGCTGTGTGGATGTGGTTGTACTAATAAGATCAAAAACTCCAAAAATCAAGAACTTGCCCATGTAGCTGCATGTGAAAAGATTTCTAATGAACACGGCAAAGGAAGTAAGGAAGTAAGGTGAAAATGGCTTCAGGCGGACTGGCCCCTGCCACTAAGGCAGTGTAGGGCCTTAAAGGAGTCAGATGAACATGTCTTCACACATACCTGCGCAACGATTCACGCATACCTCTGTCATATACACCACATAAAGCAGAATCCCATTTCAACAACAAAGTCCCATCCAGCATCCCATAAGAAGTGCTTAAATGTTGATGCTGCCAGCTAAAATAAGAGGTTGTGTGGGGATAAAGTGTTACACAGGATCAATCCCACACAGTGTTTGTGCTGACAGCAGGGAGAGCCTTTGCTCCTGTTGAAGCGTGTGTCCATGTAGCCTCCTCATGGCTGCAGGCGGTCAGGTAGGCAAGCGGTGCCAGCAGTGTGCTAAACACACATGCAGTTATCTCAAGCCTGTCAGTCAGCCACCCCGTACCTGGTTGGACCACCAAGGCCTCATACATAATTTGCCATCAAATGAATATTTTCTCAGAGTCCTGTCAAAAGTGGTATTTGATGAAATATTAATTTGGTGATTAATTTTTGCATCTGATCTTCTGTCAAGTGAGATAAAAAAAGAATGGAATTTTTCCTGTGAAGCCATTGTTCAAGGGCACCTCTCTCCAACTTTGCCCATAAAACATTGATTAAGTGATCCAACAGCCACACTATTATTCCAGAGTAAAATAAAAGGAAAACATACCTTATTTTCAAAGGAAAAATTAAAATATGCTAAATCAGGCAGGCTAAAAGCACTATATGGGCTTTTTAGTCTCCCCGGCAGTTTGCAATAGGAACTAAGAACTGACTAGAAAGTTCAACTTCAATTTCTCTTTGGGAATTAAGGAAGCGCAAAAGCAACACTATGTGGATTTTTATTAGAATGCAGCTGAAAAGTCAGCACTCATTACAGTATAGAGTGCTTTAGTGCACCCGGCATGAAAAGGAAACATTAAAAAAGCCTTTTTTGGGAAAAGGACTTTCATATTGTAGCAATACAATAACAAACCACATAATCATCATGTATTACAACAATATGACTCCACTGTAAAAGAGTTTGGGTGCCTGCAGTGTAGACCTGTCATCCACTGAAAACACTCAGCAGATTATAAAACACTAAACTACAACCAAAACTGTCAAGCAGTAGAAATCTTACTTCAAGTAAGTAAGCATTTTACACAGTTACCTTAATGTCTTTGGAAGTTGCACTCTACAGATAAATCAAGAAAATGAAACAATATTTTGGGTGTGGAAATAAAATGTCATGGGCTCCTAAAGTATTAAGGCCTCTTGGCCGGAGGACATGGATTGAAAATGCACATCCGGGGTAATAAACTCTTCTGGCACAGATGCCTACCTTCACAAGGTGCAGCAGCTGATAAAGGTCCTCTACCTCATCTCCCTCTGTCTCTCTGTAGTTTCTGCTAGTGTCCAGGCTGGATCCCTGGATGGTGCGTCTATATAGAGGTAAGTCCATGGCATCGGCATACAGTTCTATAGCCTGGTGGCCCACCGTCTGGTACATGTAGCTGTCCAATTCATCTAATGCACAAAGGAAAATGAGTTACAACCTGTGCCTGATGAGAGCCTTAATCGTGTCTGACAAAAGGGATTTCACTGGATTATGCACAAGAAGTGATGGTGCAATTCCCTGGGAAATAACTGACATTAAATATCTACCTCTACAGCTCTACAATTAATGAATACTATATTAAAAATGATCTGACTATATGTTTTTATTAATACAATGCATTGTATATTCAAGATACCACACGTTAAAGAAATAATTTTTTAAATGAAAGTAATTTAAAACAAAAGTCTGCACAAACTTAACTGAAAGTTTCAAGTTTCATCATTTTTGCAGCAGTGACCTAAAAACTTGTCCCGGTGCCTCAGAGGTCACAGGTGCAATTTCCAGATGGACACAGTAAATTTGGATTGGTGAAGTGAAAGAGCAGCACTTGCACCTTCCTCATTAACACCACTTATATGCACTTCAAAAAGGCCCTTAAACCCTAACTGCTCCAGAGGAGCTGCTCAGCAGCCAATATAATCCTGTGCCACTCGGTCAGGCTTGTACTGGGCCGCTTCCAGGTGTTAATAAGAAACTATGAAAACATGCACTAGGGATGCATGAGACTGGAGAGTGAAAAGCAAAAACTAGAAATGCGCAAAATTCAGTAACTAAGCAACTGATTTTTAGTTCCGTGTTGCTACATATATACAAGTGTGGCTCCTCACACATGCACATAGGCAAGAGAGTGACACGTACTATAGTTTATAATCAAAGTTCAAGTTAGTTACAGTTATAACAAACTCTTCCATTTTAGCTTAAAAGGTGAAGCAGACTTGGATAGTTGGGAAATGGCACTATAGCTTAGTGTATGAATACAACTGAACTGAACTAAACTGGAAAACAATCCCAACAACTCAGGCCACTTATCATAGTTAGGCCAACATCTTAAATTATACCAGACAGATAGAAACCAAAGATTTCCTTTGGGAAAGCACTCAGTGTGAGTATGGAGGAAAAACTCCTTTTTAACCTCAAGAGACCTCCGGCAGACTTAGGGAGGGTAGGCATCTATGCGAACCAACTGCAAGATCTGGGCAACTCCAAACCATACAGAGCACCCGCTCCAGTATTTCAATCACTAAAAATAGAGAATACTTTTCCAGAGCCCCATTTAGTGATATTTGCAAATATCAATAAAAGTAAAGTTCATGAAGTTGTTCTTCCTCATGAAAAGTTCTTCCTCAGTAAATTTTAATTCCTCAGGATTAACGTGTTCAAAAATACAGGAAGTATCAATTTTAGACAATAATGCTGTAGTGTAGGCTATACTGGACAAGGAAGAATAACTGTAAAACACAGGGGAGAAGTTTAATTAGAGATACATAATTTTAAGTAAGTTTACAACAAAGAAAATTAAGTCCCATTATTGAGAAGAATTTTAGTTAAGTACTAGAGAGAGCTTTGCCGTTGCATTAGATAAATAGAACCTGTTAATCTGCAATTGGACATGTTGTTTCTCTTCACATTTCTTTCAGTTATACAGATTAATGTGTTGGCATTAGACACAAAATACATATTATATGGGCATACACTATAGTGTGAATAGGGAATTCTTGTAAACTTCTTCTAGTATATTGTGGGTAAATGTTTTAAATGTATTTAATCATTAACTTACTTTTGAAACTATTCAAATATTTTTGGCCTACTTAGCATTCCATAAATGACTCTGGTTATTTTAAACACTAATATTTGAATATTTCATTTGTTAAAACATCAAATCAGATCAAATATATGTAAGGACACAGCACACAAACATGCAGTTCAAAAGTGAAATGATCAAATATTTAATTTATGTACAGTTATTGGGAACGGAAGTGCAGCTGGTTGGCCCATATAGCAAAGCCAGCTCCAGCCAGCTCCTGGGGCTTACAGGTTAATCCCAGGAGCACGTTTTACTCACCTGTGTGAGCAGGGCGCAGGTTGGCCAGAGCTACGATCCGGTGCCCAGCAGCAACACACTGCATCATGTTGTAGCAGCTGTCTTTGCCCCCACTGGAACACAACATAATAAACAGACACAGAGGCTAAGCTGACACACACATTATCATGGGTGCAAAGTTTAGCAATGTGGGAATGTGGTGCACCATATTTAATATCCAGGGTTGGAACACAAGGTTGTGGATGTACCGGGTGAGTTCTGGTGCACTACTCTCACAGCATGTTACAACCACTCTATGCCACTCTTTCATTCGTCTTCAAACCCTTAGGCAATAATTCTACACCTACATGGGTGTCATATTCTTGGTTTGAATTAACTCGTATAGATACATCAGCATCCGTAGCTTACTGCTCTGCAAGCACAAATCATCAGTGACAGACCTGTGTGACGGTTAAAGCGGCAAGCTGCGATTACCTTATTAACGCAACCACTTTCATCCTGTTAGATTTCGTTTTTGAGCCTAAAAGCACCACAAGTATTGACTACAATGTGATAACACCGCTTAGCAACCGGCGAGCGTACACAAAAACATGTGGAAGCCAGACTTCCGGGTTGTTGAAGGACCCTCGTCATTTGACTGAGGTGCCCTCTAATGTGCCTGACAGAAAATCCGTAACACCGCTCTCTTTCTTACTTACATTATTGAAATGTAAGGTTTGTTAACAGTTGCTCCTTAATAATTCAAATCTTTAAAAGGAAAAGGAAGTATAACGGTAGTTGTTCAACCAATAGTGGATAAAAGATATTACACTGAAAGACACCAAGAAAAGAAAAAATAAATAAATAAATAAATAGATGTTATTTATGTGCTTAAAGTGCTTAAAAGAGGGTAGTGCTGAGGGATATCACCAAGCCTGTTGGTCAAAGGTTTATACTCTGTATGTTCAGTTAGTGCTGCATATTCCCATCACAGTGCAAAGACATGCAGCAAAGACTTACTGTTTCACTGTGTTAGGTGCTTCCAGGGTGTACATAAGTTACAAAGAAAGAGTGTGTGTGTTTTTTAAACATATGTGCAATGGCATATTATATATATATAAAAAAATGAGTTTGACACGTCTACGTTTTTAAAGATATAGCTGAAAATTTTTTTTAAAAAAGGGTTTATTTACACTGTTGCTACTGCTTGTTGTATTATAACGTAATCAAAGTGGATAGGCACTGCAACTCTATTGACACGCATCCTTTGCCTCTTGTGTCTCAAGAGAGGGCCTAAAGTCCATGCACTGGTATTCACACACAGGTTGCGCTTTTCCTCTGAGGGAGCCCTATTTTGCTCAGAGGAAAGCCTTTGATGCTCCTTTTGCTCTCTGTTGTTGTGCCAGAGCAGAATAATTGCACTGCTTTTGTGTGCTTCCCTCACCTTCTACCCTTAAGCAGGCCAAAGGCAACTGATTCTGTCTGAGTGTACAAAATTGAGAGAGACGTCTCTTCATCCCCTTGCTTTTTTTTTTACTAGGTTCCCTCTTTTGTTTTTGTTTTGGTTTGGCTGTATTCATCCTGAATATATAGCAAAATCTACAACCTGCAGATGAGCTTAGTTTATGTTGGGGTGCAGACAGTATAGGCTGAATGGAAGGATTTGTTTTCTAATGGAGTAATATTTTCTTATGATATGTTCATTCGATTGTTTTGGTTTTTTTCCCTCTTTATTACATAGGATGATAAAAGATGTAATATTTGGTCACTTAATTTTTTGTCATTTCTTTCCTTGTCCTTTATTTATTTATAACAATAAAAAGAATTGAGTTGTATTCAAGATATAATATAGCTGAGCAAGTTACTCAGTCCCCAGTCTAGTGTACCAAAAATATGCACAACAAACAAGTGCCTGTATATCTGTAGAATTAATATTTCAATATTTTGATCTTATGGGAAATTTCAGTTGAAAGGATGAGTGATATGGTTTTAAAAAATGTTCCTTTGACATGTTTGTTTGAAAAATGGCCTCCTCCTGGCCTCCTGGAGAGCCAGTCACATCCCTCTGAGTCTGGTTGTCCTTCAGTTTTGTAAACTCATTAATACATCACCTGTGTTTTCCAATTGTGCGGGTTATATTTAATATTAAAAGTTCTCAGCCTGTGGTAATTTCCATTAAAGCCCATAACATAGGACTAATGCAAATTTTGTCGCTTATCACTTTTAATTTATGTCGTTTATTACCTAGACAAATAAAGAGGTGTGTTGTTCATGTTTTATTTGTGGCAGCATTTTGCTGACGTAAAAGAGCGTTTTATGTCCATATTGTTGGTGTGATGGGGATAAAAAGTGTTGATGGATGGCCCAACTGAGACACAGCCAATGGACGTGAATATGAGACGCATAAATATGAAAGCAAGGCAGCAGGAATCAAATGACACCCTTGGCCTTTTCTTAAAGGAGCATGTGCATATGACAGGTGATTTACACAGACACACAAACTAATTTTTGTCGCACAAGGACACAAAAACTTTGGGTGTAATGAGAAACTAAGGCCTCAAATCACAGGACAATAAATTGAGTGTCAGAACAGGCCAGCCAAGGTTGCAGGCTGAGTGGCCAGAATACAAACACACAAACACACTTGTGCACCACATCATGTGGAAGCAGAGAATGCTTTTTTTTTTTTTTAATAACAGTTGCTGTAATGCTTACAGGATATTTATGCATTACATTGAAAATAAAGAAAATAAATAAATAGTACATAGTAAATAGTAGTACATTTTATTTATCGATAAAATATTAAGTTGAAAGGTAAAAATGTAAGTAAATGTAATGTAAGATTAGATCTTACAAGTAAATGTTAACTCTAAAGAGAAAATTGGTTTTACTGCTGACAAAAAACACAAGGTTGTACAACTTGTGAATAAATGTGCATGTAAGTGCCATCATAGCCAATAAAAGGAAACAATAAGATGCAATAAAATACCTAAAAAAAATAAATAATTTATCACACAATATAACAGTTATTGTAATCATTTATACTCTGTATTTTTCAGATGTAGCACAAAAATACTGGATTCACATGCTGTTGACATCTAAAATTAATTTTAAAATGACATATAAATTCTGTTATGTTAAGTATTTACAACACATCCAAAGTACGTTCATCTGAGGGCCATGTTTTTTTTTGTTTTGTTCAGTTGGTTTTATATCAGGGTTGACTCTTTTTAAAGAGAAATTAAATATTGGGACAATTAACAAAACCTGTACTAATGACCTTAAAACAGCCTTAATTTTAGGTTCATTTTTTTAGAGGCCTTTAATAAAATAAAACCGTGTGAGCAATGTTTGGCATCGTTCTTCTCAAAGACAACTTTCTGTTTCAGCTCAAGAAAATCGACTTCTCTGTTCTGACTCTACACCAAACATAAATTGGATGTGAATGTTACTGTAATTTGGAATTAAGTTTCAACTAAGCCACAAACAAAGTAGGGCACAAATGAAGCTAGTTGCTTGAAACATCCAGTTTCCTCACGTTATTCTAAACCTTTGTGAATCAACAACTACCCAAATGTCAGAGATTTATCTAAGTCATTCTTCTCTATAGAAAACTCCTGTTAATTATAGGTGAAGTTTAACAAGCACTGGTGGCCGCCAAACGTTTTAAAGTACTGGTAAATTTGCTCTCAAGTGAGCAATGGTTGAAAGCAGTCCTGTGTATTCTTAACTCTACACCACTCTGGTGTTGTCTCCATCAGGGGCTCATTTTCCAAAGAACTATCAACATAATGATACCTCTTTAGGGCCTAACCACATCCAAATCAGTTAGTAAACAACCCAAACGGGGATCTGTACACATTTTTACAGACAATTAACTGTTATCACGAGGGGCCCAAATGGATTAGTAGGCTCATTAATGTCTGAGGCTAATCGGTCCTTGATTGGAAATGCGAGAAAATGTGAAAAAAAAAGTCACGGTTTGATCCAAATCGTGTTTGATCATGACATTGTCCTGAACAACCCCCCTCCTCCAGTCTGCAAACGCTAATTGAGTTTTTCCCCCAAGTCTCCCAATGAAAATTTAGCTGTTACCCCTGTTCCATTTGGCTTCTACATGACATAAAGCATTAAAATGGTTGAAACATGTTTTGCCCAATAAGATGCTGCACTTTTGTGAGCGATCCAAGATCATTTTGCTTAGAGCTGTTATTCGGTCTTCAAAATAATAAACATCTTTGCGCAGAATAGTGGCTTTCACAGGCGTTTAAAGTGGTGCTTTTATCTCATATCTCAACTCAACCTGAATGCAGTAATATGTATATAATGCTTCACAGAACAAAAATAAATAAATAAAAATAATGACAGTTATGCTCCTAAGAACCTTTACTGCGTTTTTAAGGATCATTTAGCAGCAACAGAACTGCAAGTTCAGAAATTTGCTGTTATATCTTCACAGTTTATATTTTTATTATTATTATTAAACAAGACAACATGGCTAATGTGGCCTTTATTTGGGGCATAATGATGCTTTCAGTTAAATGGTAATGTTTTGTAATGGCATGGTGATTTTTAGTAATGTTTACCTTGTTCAGCATGTTAGTCTAGCTTCTTGAAACATGAATTCCTAATTAGCACTGAATACATACCAAAGGAGCATTGTTAAAGACTAATAAATAGTGAACCCTGAAATCACAGCTCTCTTGTTAGGCCTCTACATTTATCATCATTATTGATCTGGGTAGGCTATTTAAAAATAGACATTATACTTGAGTCTGGATGTATTTTTGTATTAATCAAGGGTTAAAAGTAGATGAAAAAAAATCACTATCCCCTGATCCATGCAGCCCTGTAGAAATGGAAACTTTCCAATAGCCAAACCAGCCAACCATCCCTAAGTACAAATGTAATTTCCTGAATATTTCTCCTTGATTTGAAATCGTCTTGCCCTACTTATAGCATCCTAGAGTCAAATTATGGCTTCAGTGGTTGAAACTTGTGAAGCTTCAGCCAAAAGGATGTGGCCCATTTAAGTATACCACCATTCAACTAATTTTGAAGCAGCCAAAGCAAACTGCACATGCTGCTATCACCTGACTCTAATGCTGCCTGGCAATGGTCTGCATATGGGATCTTCAGCCTAATGGTTCACAGAAACTATCTCCTCCTAGAAATCAAAACCAGGGGACATCAAACCTTAAAGCTGTGCCATACAAATCCAATATGGATATCCTGAAACAACAAACAAACAGATAAATATACTGTTTTTCTGTCCTTATGTTATATATCGAGGTGAGCAAAACATATAAATTCTGTTTTTGTTGCTGGCCGGTGTGTTACTTAAATACTAAACTGTGGATGGGATGCTATAATTAGCTAGTCTGCTCTCTGATATACAATCCTCAGACAGTTTCCATCTCAGTCGACAAACATAATCCTAATCCAGGAAATATCCTGCAATCAGAGTATTGGAGTTGACATCAGAGGTAGCCACAGAGGCGATTCCCACACACTCCTCCCATAGCTTCAAAGGTCTTCCTGGGCCTGTTATGGGTTTCCCTCGTGATGAAGTGTGACACTCCACAAACACAAAAGCCCCAGCCCTCTCGTGGGCTTTGCTTTTCTTGGATCACTCCAGTCAGACCAATGCCAAGTCAACTTGGCGGTTGTCAAAACTGGCCTCATATCTCTGTGGAGTGTGCGTGGTGCCTTGTGCTGTCTGCATGTATGCGTGTG